TCGCTAACGCCGCAACAACTGATCCACTTCGCCCAAATCGTAGACACGGCACTGTTTAAGTCATATTTGCTTTACCGGCCTGCATTACTTGGTTCATTGTGTCGAGTTGCGAATTGGTGTGAAGTATCGGAAGTCGAGGAGGAGCTGCGCGCCCGTGAGGTGGGCGTTGGAAGTACTCAAGGGTTAACAACAACTAACTTTTTTTCAGAAATTTGCAGAGCTGATCTTCTTATATAATGGGAAGAAGATGCACGCGAAAGCCCTGGCACTCTTGCAGCAGTGAGTTATTGATTCGGCGGTCTATGTCATATTCCCGACAATTATTCACAGACTGAGCGAGAATGAAGATGATATTAGGGACAAGCTCGATCCGACGGTTTCTTATCTCCAGAAACTGGGGCCAGAGTACTTGGACCAGATATTCAAGTCTGCACGTTGGGTGTTTGACCAAGACCGTGAAATGGGTCTCCAGGTAATACAGCCATGAACCACATTTCGTTCTACCATATCCTGACGTCAACATCAGGTTTTCATGTCCGAGGATGTTGAACTTCCCCGTTCCCATGTGGTTGATTACCTGGAGAAGATTGACCCTCAAATTTCCGCACGTTATATTGAGTACCTTATTGAAGAGAAACATGAAGACGGTGGCATGTTGCATGATCGCCTTGCTGAGCTCTACTTGAGCATTACCATCAGTGCTAAGAAACGTGGGGACAACCGTAGGACTCTCTTCCCTTCAAAATTTGTAGGATGTAATGTTGTGATCTCGCAGAGAAACGGGACGAGACGTACGCGAAGCTTCTCCACTTCATCGACACGACCAACCATTACCATCCTGCCCGCCTATATGGCCGACTTTCAGAAGGTCGGTTAGTCGCATAGCGTAGCAGTGAAAGCTGATGATGCCTTCCACAGATCTTTACGAAGCACGAGCCATACTATTAGGTCGCATGGGAAGACATGAGCACGCCCTAGAACTGTATGCGTACAAGTTAGGCAATTTCCAGAAGGCCGAGGAGTATGATCGCCGTCACCATCTACGTATTGCAGTTGTTTACTGTCTTTTTAGGTACTGCAAACGTGTGTACCACCCCGATACTGAGACCAACACCGTATTCTTGACGCTGCTGAAACTTTACCTACGACCCACTGCGAAGGATCTTCCCAACCTCCTTCCACCTGCTCTGGATCTGATGAGAAGGCAGAGCCATCGACTAAATCCCGTCGAGACACTGCAACTACTTCCGCCTCTCGTATCAGCGGAGGAAGTGCGGAAGTTCTTGCAGCAGGCTCTGCGGATGCCAGTTTGTGATAGTCACGTTATTCGGGAAATCAACAAGGCGCGGAGCGAGCAGGTTGCCAGGACGTTGATGATCCTCGAATCTAGACGCGTCAAAGTGACGGACAGCAGAATGTATGTTACTATGTTTCCATAATGTATACTGACAACTGACTGGAATGATCTATTTTTCAGATGCCCCCAATGCCATAAGCGACTGGGAAGTAGTGTCATTGCAGTGCATGCGCCACGGTCAGTTTTCCGAGTTTGAGTGCTCTTAGGAGGTATTCATGCCACGTTACAGTGGAGAGGTTACCCACTATCAATGCCGAGAGGCGTTTTCTAAAAAGCTTAACTCACTAAGGCAAAGTTAAGGAAGTCCCGTACATTTTGCTTCGGAAGGACATTCGTGTCATCACTACACCACTAGGAACGTGCGGAAAAACCTATTTCCATTTACTATCAACCTCGAACGTATGCCAACTGGATCTCTGTGCTATCCAGTTCGTTGCGGGGTTGATGTAACTATTATGTACGTAGACGCTGCGAGATATTGACGTATCGTACAATCACTTCCATCCCCAGATAGTGGAGCAGAGGTGCTTCCTGCTATCTATGGATCCTCGACCAAAGTAGCCAACGCATATACGGGGCGACTGACAAAGGAGAAAATTGTGGAAGCTAGCGCTACCTGGGTGTCCAAGCGCAAATCCACAATCGATGAATGTGACATAGCAGCAGCAGTCCGATAGATCTGGCGCCGTGTGAGATACCACCGAAAGACAGTTGGTGTAGCTGGCATTGAGTCAGGTCAGGTCGATGGTGGGAACCACTTTTCCAACTTGTTGATCATGTCTTCGACGCGCGTGAGGTATGTTACTAACACGTCCAATATGTCAGCATGACCAACATGAGGGGGGAAGGCGACTTGGAAGTCATCTTTGAAAGAAGCCCCTAGATCGGCCTTCGAATGGCTAATCAAACATGAGACCAACACAGAACGAGATACAAGATTGCCGTAGCTTACTCTTGCCGCTTTCCTGACTTCTCTCGTTCATACTCCCATTCAAGTATCGTCTTCATCCATGTTGAAACTTCCTCTTTTAACTCCCCAAATTCGGCCCTCTCGTTCTCGCTGAGATCCATCTGGAAGCGGAGAGAGGATGGCTGGCTGTAGCCTTCCAGACAACCGGGGAAAAAGTCATTCAATCGCTTTGCGAGCAGGCATGACTCGGGCGATGTCCACAGATAATGAATATACTGCGCAAAAGGTCTTCAGTGATACACAACGAAGTCGCCAGCGACCCACTTACTGCTTGGCAGAGATTCTTCAAGAGGAGGAAATACTGTTTTCTCAAGGACTCGCTTTGTGCTTGGCAAGATGCGTGAGCGCGGATCTCTTTCGTTGTCAACACCCTACCTCCCGGTCGTCGGGCGGGCGCTCTATGTACAACTGGTTCAACGCGAGTATATGCCCTATTTTTTTGGTAGCGAACTGGCGCAATCCCTCGATGGTTGTAAGAACGTTGAGCAGATCGGGAATTTGACCAAGGATGAACGTTGGGTAAAGAATGTTTCGAATTGCATAGAACAACAAGGCAGGTGGTATGTCCGCGCTACCGCTGCCTACAGCCTCTGCTGTACCTGCAACTTCATCTGGAATTCAGGTAAGAAACAACCACGCATAGAGTCGTGATACCGGCCATATATTGTGCGGTGCGCTAGAGTGTCAAACTCGTCCCAGTTAATTCGACATAGTTTTGCTTCCAACTGCTTTCTTTCCTCCGGGTTCATGAATACTTTGCGAGTGGATAGCGGATGGAAAGAACTTCGTGTGAAGCCAGAAAGTACGAACTTATCATTGTCCGACACTAAGTCGGTGATCGCGTCTCGATGTGGCCAGGGACCGTCCGCGCGACACGTGGCTGAGGTGCCAAACAATTGCAGCCACGCAGTACATGTACTACAAACGATACTTCATATAAGCAAGTAATGATGTGAAGTTAATCGTCTTCAGAGTCAGAATCACCAAATAAACATGGTCCGTCGTAAACCATAGCTGCGTTTTTCTCTGGAAAGGCATCGGATGTCCGGCATTCCAGTTCGGTCAGCAAGTGACCTCCCATCATTCGTGCCCCATCTCCTTCAGTGGCCCATTTTTTTCCAGATAGGGAGGCCACTTCGCAACCGCGAGGATAGCTTGACGTCATCATCGAATGTGTTCAGATCGTGCGCCAAGGCATCCTCAAGAGGCTTGTGAACTGAACCAAACCGCGATGCAGTCCTAGAGAGGAACAATCATTATCTCCGAAGTACTGATTAGACCCGACCGCCGTTTCCTTCGTGAGGAATCTGAAACTGCACCAGTGAACATGCTGCTGGTGACATCTCTCCCGGTTTTCACGGAGTAACCAACGCCTTCCCTTCCTTTGGTAAAGTCGATCGGACATTCACTGGATGAAGTTACGTCGATGCAACCTTCAAACGTTCCACTTGCAGAATCCTTCCAATAGTTGCCCAGGGATCCGGATCGGAAAGGAAGTCAAGCGGCAGGTGAGTCATAGGGACAATATCTGAATTGTCCTTTACAGGCTGCGTCTCATGAATACAACGTACCCGGTCAGGGCTGTCGGAAAATTCCAGTCCTCGGAACGTAGGCTGATGTGAAAGGAAGGAAAGCGACAACTCAGGACTTGAGTGGATCTTACTTCCAGAAAACTTGTCGCTGCTAGTAGAAATACGAGATAAGGGCTGAAAGTGCCCCAAGTCTGACCGTGCCCCGAATCCTTCGATGGGTGCATGTGTTGTGTTGCCGGGAAGTAGTGGCCAAACATCATGGACTGCTCGTTAGACCATTCGGTTATAGGACTAGGGGGAGGCCTTGGTGAAGACTCGAACTCCAAGATCATGTCGCGATCAACATCCATAAAGGAAGAATCGGTGGTGAAGGGAGAAGACCGAGGAAGGGGCGAGAACTGATTACTTTGGGCACAGAGAGGCCCTGAGTAGAGAAAGGTGCCTTCGAGTTTCTTCTCTCGGTATATCCACTGTCACGGAAATTCCGGGAAGCCATCCCCTCGTCTGTATTATTGTTTTCTGGTCGCTGTAAATGCTCGGTATCAAAAGGAGAATCCTGTGAAGAGACACACGAGGACTGTTTAGCCAATATATTCTTGCCCGAGATCAAGAAGTACTTGGTCGTTAGTTCCATATTCATCAGAACTGTCGTTGGCCGTTCTCGCGCCCCCGCAGGGCACTGTGTCCTTGTGAGTAACCGCTTGAGCACCAACTAGATCTGGTAGTTGAAGTATCCGATCGATAGCAGCTCGGATCGACATGTCTAACACAACAGATCCTTAGCGCCGACAAGGATTCGGAAACACAGAAGCATACGATCCGACGTATCCAATGCAGAGAGTACTTTGGATGGTCGTTTTCGGCCATTCTCGTTATCAGAAGATAACGTATAATACTGATTGAGGGGGACATGTGGAGACCTTCTAGTGTTATGGGGTGCGTGGGCGAGAGATATCTCGGACAACAAAGAAGCTGAACGCAATGGACCGGAATTACGACGATCCCCAGGACTACGGTGTCCTAGAGCATTCGCTAGACGTTGTTTTACAAAGTGCGTTTTTGTGCACGGCCAGCCGCGTCTTTTGTCTTCGCACGTACTGCATTTCTAGGCGTCGTGCTTTAACTCTGATAATGTGGGTAGCAGGTCCAGTCAAACCTTTTTCCACCCATGTAATTAGCACCGACCATGGTTGCTGATTGGCAGTTGAGTTGGTGGTCAAATGATGATGGTGGCTGCTACGTAATTGATTCCGATACCATAACAGCAAATATGACCATAAGCATGCTCCCACCTTCCTCGCCTGCTGGCCCAACCATCACCCTGACGCTCTCCACGTATGGAAAGCCGGACAGTCACGCTCAGAAAGGCGGTGGGCGAGGCGCCCGTAAATACTAGACTTGGTAATTGACCCCCTTGGGACCCAAGACACCGCAAACTTACCCGAGGTATAATTTAACGGCTTTGCATATATTATAATGAATCACGAAAAATGGCCACGAAAATGTAGATACGAGCCTGACATACTACAAAGTATCTACCACTTATCTAGGAATAGGTCATCATCATCACTCTCTTCGTCAGAAAACACCCTACACTGTATTTTTTGAAGCTTCGCTCTTGGCCACTGTCGAGAACAGTGGAACTTCAATTGCAGCTGCTCGTTGAAAGCCGAGACCGAAGCTTCACATTATGTAATTGTGCAAGCCACACCTCTCGTGGAGCGCTGCCTGCCCTTGCCCACCTGCCATAGATAATTCCATAGCCACTGACAAGTTAAAAATGCTGCTGGCCCACCACTACTCCCAACCCACATCTGCATTTGGTATATATTGAAATTTCCCACCCTACTGCCCTGTAGTCCCCTGGGTCAGCTCCCTTGCCCTACCGGGCTCTATCTTCTGCTGGCATGCATCATATATGATCATTAACATGAAGTATAAGTATATTAGAGCATAATTGAACACTTAGTCGAGTATACTAGTGGCCCTGAATAGCTTGGAAATGAGATAGGGGTAAAAAGCCAAAAAGCGGACGCTTTTCTGATATATTGGACATATCTACTTGGTTTTCATGTCTCCTTCAAGGTAATATGTATGCCTACAGCATATCCAAAGTTCATAGCCTTTGATGGAGTACTTTACATGTGGTGACACAATCTCCTCCTCCCTGTATTTCACCATAGAAAATTTTTTCTGGGTCTTTTTGTGCTGGTAATGTGATGTAACATGGTATAGTAGTTACACTTCGTGAATTGGTGCATAATTGGACCGCCCATCAGGTGGCTGAGAAGCTCTGAATTGCTAGAAACGATTTCAGGGGTTACAGACAAAAAAGTGTTCGCAATTTTGCTACATTTGATATGGGCATTTGAGAGGGACATCCCCTTGTAGTGGCCCTCTGTACCTATATAATATCACAAGCTCATTGAATGGGGTGGAGCTCCTGAGGTGTTGTGCCATGGTCTTCCCCTGCTGGTATTTAGGGGCTTTATCAATTTCCAGGAAGTATATTGCTATTCTGACTATCTAGGGATCTATTGAATACTTATTCACAACCAAAAAAATAAATACCAAGTCCACAGCAGAAGGGGAGAGAGCAGGGGAAGGAAAACAATCACCCAGAGAGCGTGGGAAAATGCGCAAAAAGTTGCGGAGACTTTTAGAACATATCAAAAAGATGGAATGGTACGTCATACACAGTGTCTGGTGCTCAATGGATGGTAGTACTGGGATTTTAACATCTGATAGCTCCTCCTAGAATTATATTACGCCTACTTCAGTGTGTCACACCCTCAGAACTTGAGACTTGGTACCAGTCTCTTATCCTCAGTAGTGAAATGTATTTACTGGATCAGAAGTCCACATGTATCAATTTTCACATATTTTTGGGTTCTCTGGGTAATGCAGGTATTATATTACATGAAGGCATGTCCCATGACCAAGGGGAACATGGTACTCCATCCATTGAGTACCAGACACTGTGTATGATATACCATTCCATCTTTTTGATATGTTCTAAAAGTCTCCGCAACTTTTTGCGCATTTTCCCACGCTCTCTGGGTGATTGTTTTCCTTCCCCTGCTCTCTCCCCTTCTGCTGTGGACTTGGTATTTATTTTTTTGGTTGTGAATAAGTATTCAATAGATCCCTAGATAGTCAGAATAGCAATATACTTCCTGGAAATTGATAGAGCCCCTAAATACCAGCAGGGGAAGACCATGGCACAACACCTCAGGAGCTCCACCCCATTCAATGAGCTTGTGATATTATATAGGTACAGAGGGCCACTACAAGGGGATGTCCCTCTCAAATGCCCATATCAAATGTAGCAAAATTGCGAACACTTTTTTGTCTGTAACCCCTGAAATCGTTTCTAGCAATTCAGAGCTTCTCAGCCACCTGATGGGCGGTCCAATTATGCACCAATTCATGAAGTGTAACTACTATACCATGTTACATCACATTACCAGCACAAAAAGACCCAGAAAAAAGTTTCTATGGTGAAATACAGGGAGGAGGAGATTGTGTCACCACATGTAAAGTACTCCATCAAAGGCTATGAACTTTAGATATGTTGTAGGCATACATATTACCTTGAAGGAGACATGAAAACCAAGTAGATATGTCCAATATATCAGAAAAGCGTCCGCTTTTTGGCTTTTTACCCCTATCTCATTTCCAAGCTATTCAGGGCCACTAGTATACTCGACTAAGTGTTCAATTATGCTCTAATATACTTATACTTCATGTTAATGATCATATATGATGCATGCCAGCAGAAGATAGAGCCCCATAGGGCAAGGGAGCTGACCCAGGGGACTACAGGGCAGTAGGGTGGGAAATTTCAATATATACCAAATGCGGATGTGGGTTGGGAGTAGTGGTGGGCCAGCAGCATTTTTAACTTGTCAGTGGCTATGGAATTATCTATGGCAGGCGGGCAAGGGCAGGCAGCGCTCCATGAGAGGTGTGGCTTACACAATTACATAATGTGAAGCTTCGGTCTCGGCTTTCAACAAGCAGCTGCAATTGAAGTTCCACTGTTCTCGACAGTGGCCAAGAGTGAAGCTTCAAAAAATACAGTGTAGGGTGTTTTCTGACGAAGAGAGTGATGATGATTGTAGGTGTCAACGGTCACGTGTTAGGCGCTCTTGTACTTGTAGAACTGTTTACGCTAGTTTACACCTCAGCGCTTGTGTCTACGACGCTGAGGTGGGTACGGTAACCCCTGAGGACACGTGTGTATACTTACCTCCTGTAGCGTGTCTTATCAGGTATTGTCAATGACAGCGCTTGTGTCTACGACGCTGAGCGTGTCTTATCAGTTTACAACAATGATGACCTATTCCTAGATAAGTGGTAGATACTTTGTAGTATGTCAGGCTCGTATCTACATTTTCATGGCCATTTTTCGTGATTCATTATAATATATGCAAAGCCGTTAAATTATACCTCGGGTAAGTTTGCGGTGTCTTGGGTCCCAAGGGGGTCAATTACCAAGTCTAGTATTTATGGGCACCTCGCCCACCGCCTTTCTGAGCGTGACTGTCCGGCTTTCCATACCCAATACAACTCGGCTGATAGCTTACTCCACGTCCAGAGGTGCTACTAGTAGCAAGCAAAAGCCGCCACATGTATTTCAGATGGAAGCCGGTCACTGAGGTAACCGAGTTCTACGACGATATTTACAATTACTTAGTATTTCGGATAGACGGACACCTGTCTGTAGTCACGAATTTTGTAAAATAAGATGGCTTTCCATAATGTACTACTACAGTCACCATTGCTTATCCCGTTTTGGATCTTGGTAACTTGCTTAGTACTGCAACAGTGACTTAGATTCTCCCTACCTGGTGATGCAACGTGGACTGACAAATATACATTGTGGCGCAGTGCACAAAGTCTGTTTTGAAGTGCCGGCAGACAAGTCCATCATGTTGGCCTGGGTATCTTTTCCAATGGAACTCTCCCCACTCACCTGCAACCTGTGTCCAGAGCAATTCAGAGTTTATAGGAAATGAAATACACAATATTGATTGATCGGGGAGAATAGGGGCTCAGTGAGATGTATGTAAGCATACACTTACCACTCACGCATCACTCATGCTCACGCTACTGCTTCATGCTGTCACATCTCCTGTCGCACCATGCTATCACGTCTCCTATCTCCTTGTCTGGGCATGCGGATCCCTCTCACTGTGTTGCACTGTTTGGATCCTGGGGGTATATATATCGGTGCTACATGTATGCACAGGATATATCTTCTTTTCCCTCTTTCTTTCTCTCTCTATCATCCTGTATCAGAGCATATGCTTGGTTGTTCAATCCCACATGCCTGTCCATGTTCTGTCTTGTTGTGATTCATCCTGAGTGTGCTCACCCCTACTGTGGTGGGTTCCACTTTTTTTGAACGTGCCATAGTGCGTGTCGATGCCTGGTAAAGGTGTCAAGCTGCCATCTTGTCGCACCCCCTCCGTTCCTGTGCCCTTGACTACCCATAGTTGAGGGAATGGTCCCCCACCGGCGACATCATTGTCATCTCTGTTGTCCTCGCTTTCGTCCTCACTGTCTCAGTCCCATGCCACCTCCCTCCCACTGCCATCCACACCACCACCTGTGGCTCTGCCTAGTGCCACATCATCTCCATCTGCCCCTTCTGCACATGTTCCCCCATCACCAGTGTTGTCCCCATACATGCATCCAGCATCTCCTGCAACCACCGATAGTTCCTCGTTGTCAGACAGCTCCACAGCGGTCTTCCCTGTTATTATAATGTCTTCGACCCAGTCTCAGATGGTGTGGTGTGAAAACACTGCGCCTGGTAAAAATCCTCCCTTCTTGACAGCAGGCAATATCACCCCAGAAGGGTTGTGGAGCTGGGAGCTGGGCTGCGAAAATTATTTTCAGCTGAAGAGTGTAGCTGAGGATGTCCAGGTTGCTAAGGTTGCGGGTCACCTTTTAGATCCTCATGTGCAAGATTGGATCAGTAACAACAGTAGTCAACTGACTGCCCTATCCTTCTCTGAATTTATGGACAAGGTTCGTATGTATTGGCTCCCCAGCGATTGGGCAGAGGCTATACAGCAGAAGATGTTGTCGTCAACACAGGGGAATAAGGCCTTCCATCTGTGGGCCGTCGAAGTAGAAAGCCTGAATGTCTTATTGTGAGGAAGCGAGTTCCACCTTACCGAAGACCATCTCCGTTTCCACTTGGAGTCACACATGCA